CCCGCCCCTCCCACCTTTGACAGTTTTACTGTGGGGGGGAGGGGGCGAACTCTCGCGGTATTCCTGCCGCTATCCGCGACGGGAGAGACGGGTCGGGGGAGGGGGCCCGTGCGGCCATCCGCTTGCCCGGTACCCCGTCCGTCGCCTGCGTGGGCTGGGCCGTCAGGGCGAAGTGGCCAGTTATGCCTCTGTCGGGCGGGAGGTGTTGTTCAGGCATTGGGGTAAACTGAGGCACGATGGGGCGCTGGATGCTGCCCCAAGCCCAGCGCGCACGGATGGAAGCGACGGGAAGGTGCAGCGAAAGAGGCTGCCCTCCCCTGGGACCTTGAACTCCTGGCCCCGGGGGCCTCGAGCCTGCAAAGCAGGATCCAGCCTCTTTTCCAACCAGCCCTGTGACCACGTCTGCCTGTGGCCACCCTCAGGAAATGGCCTGGCTCCTGGCAGTGCCGGGGCAGTGTGAGGCCATGGGCTTTATTGGGGTGACTGAGCAGCCTGTCTACTTTAGGGCAGTGGTCCTAGACCAGCAGCCAGTGCCCTCCTTGCTCCTTTGTGCCCCGGAACTGGGCTCTTGGCAGGGATGCTGAGATCAGGTCTGGGGGTGACAGGGCACCCACCTCACCGAGACGTGGAAATGAATGGAGTAGGGAAGGAGCGCTAGTTTGGAGACAGGTAAAAGGTGCGCCTCCTTCCCCGAGACTCTTTCTACCTGCTCTGTCCACGCCGGGGCAGCTTCGGCTACGCTGTTTGTGGGCAGGGCACAAAACACGTGGGCAGATTTGGAGTCTTCCTTTTCTCACAGGGACCTCTGGGAGCTGCTTCTCTCGAGGCACCAAGTGTCCATACTGGGGCAGAGGCAGGGAGGGGCCCTCTGTGGAGGGGTCAGTCAGTCCTTCCTTTGGAAATCAGAGCCAGAGAGACCTGTGTAATCCTTCCCTCATTCACTGTGCCCACCCCAGGGTCAAGACGTGCAGGATTTCAGGAGAGGGGGTCAGTGTGTGTGCCCTGAGGTGCATCCAATTGGTAGGTGTGTGTCTGCATGACCACATACGTCAAGCTGTGTCCTGTTTGGCCATCATGGTGTCAGGGTATGTCTCTGTGTCCCGTACTAGGTGAGAAAGATTCTAGTCGTATGTTAGTGTCCAAGTGACTGGACACAAGGTGTGGGGGGATGTCTGGGTCTTGGTGGGTGTGTGTCCAGGCCACAGCGCGTCTGCATGTCAGGGCAACGTGTGATGTTATGTGTGTTGTGTATGGGGTGCACTGTGCCTGGTGTTTTTCTGTATGTTAGGAGGTCATGGGATGCTGGGACCCTGTGTGTCAGTGTGCTGCGTGTCTGGACGCTGGTGTCATCGCGTCTCTGTGTGTTGGTGCGTGTGTGTCCAGACTGCAGGGCTTGGTTTATGCCTCTGTGTGAGTATTTGTGTGTCTGGTTGCTGTGTGGGTATGTGTGGGGGCATGTGCTGTGACGTGTGTTTCTTATGTCAGAGCTCTCACTTGTGCAGGGAGCTAAATGGGGATCCCCAAAGGATAGTCACTTCAGATCCCTGGAACCTATGAATGGGACCTCATTTGGAATAAAGGTTTTGCAGACGTGATTAAGTTAAGGGTCTTGAAATGCAGAGATCATCCTGGATTATCCAGGTGGGCCCTATGTCCAGTGACAAGTGTCCTTGTAGGAGGGAGATTTGCCAGAGGTGATGTAACCCTGGAATCCAGGATGGAGTGGTGTGTCCATGAGCCCAGGAATCCCCCCAGGGCAGCCCCCAGAAGCTGGAGAGACGAGGAAGGGTTCTTTCCTGAGCCCAGGAAGGAGTGCTGCCCTGCTGGATTCCAGACTTGTGGCCTGTAGAACAGTGAGAAAGTTCGTTTCTGTTGTGTTAAGCCTCCCTGTCGTGGTCATCTGTTACAACAGCCCCAGGAACCTAACACACCTGTGTCCCTGCCCCTGGGTGCGGCCCATGGGGCAGCTGGGGCCAGCAGGGGCCTGGGGTACACAGGCGCCCCACCAGGATGGGACACCACTGCCCCCTGGTGGCCCCAGCTGGAGGCAGCTGGCCCAGGCGCCCCCTCCTCCCAGGCCCAGGCCCCACTCAAGGCTCTGAGCGTCCCCCACATGCCTGGGTGGCCAGAGTCAGACACCACACTCGCGGCACTTGAGAACCAAATTTATTTCTGATTTTTTGGTCAGAATATAAAAAAGCGCAAAACAAGGAAGATAAGACAGGAACACAGCGGGGCTGAGGGTCCAAGACAGGGAGGGAAAAGGGGAGAGAGACAGGAAGGGCTCCCTGGAAAGGGTCATGTCGTGATGGCATGAGGTGGCCAGGGATATTCAGGGCAGCCGGGCAGGATGAGGGGCTTCCCATGGGGAGGCGCATGGGATGGGGGGCACCAGGCCAGTTGTTCAAATTCCACATGGGACCTGCAACAACCAACCTCCCATCCTGAGGCTGGCACAGGGCGCGGCTTGGGATCTGGTGGCTCAGCCCCATCTGTCTCCAAGATTTTCAGAATCCCCAGGGGGTTGAGTGGGCAGAGGTGCAAGAGGGTGGGGCTGCCAGGACTGCCCTAGCTATCCCGCTGCTGGGCCCACGAGTGGTTGCTCAGGTGCTGGCTGGGTCTCCACTGGGTGGGCATGGGGGCTGCAGCTGTCAGAACAGTTCTTGTGTGGATCCGGGTTCTCCTGGGAAAGGGGCAGTGGGAACACCCACCCATGACTAAGCCTGGAAGGCAGTCTCCATGACCCTGGGAGGAGGGAGCCGTCCCCCAACCTAAGGCCAGGACACAGGTGAGCCTGGCACTGGGCGTGGGGTCCTCCTGGGGTCAGGCCTTGGGCGTGTGTCCCAGTCCCCGTGAGTAGACGGGGGCGTGGTAAGGGTTTCAAAAATGAGTGAGAGCCCTTGGCACGGTGGCTGGCTGGGCTGGGCCACTGACCGTTCTCTGGGCAAGGACGGGGAGGGCCACACACCAAAGGGAACCTTGGCAGTTTACCCCACCTGTGTGGCAGTCCTCTAGGGGCTGGGGGAGGGCGTAAACGGGGTGAGGGGGCAGACCTCTGGCCCTGGGCAAGGGCAGGGTGCCTAGAAGACGCGTGACTCAGCAGGCGATGGAGGGTGCCGGCGAAGGGAATATAAATAAACAGACTCCTTGGGAGGCTGGGGGTGTCCAAACCGGCTCTGGCCCCAGGTGGCTGCCCTGCATGCTGCCAGCAGCACCAGGGGGTGGGCCTGGGCTCAGGTCCTGGGAGGAAGGGCCCCACTCAAGCAGCCCCTGCCTGCCCGCCCGCCCACTCCCAGGCCCTGCCCGGAGTGCACAACCAGAGGTGGCTGGAGGTGGCGACGCTCGTCCCACCTGTCCATGGGGCTGGGCTTGGCCCCTGGGGCGTCACGCGGGGTCTGAGAGGGGCTGCACGGCCAGCTCTGCCTCGTGCTCGTCAGGGGCTCCGGTCACAGTGCTGAGGTCCGGCGTTCAAGCCTAGGCAGCAGCTAGGACATGTTTCCGAAGGAAGCTGTGGGGCGAAGGGGGGTGAGGAGGGTCGGGGACCTCTGGCGTCATCCCCTCTCGCCCCAGGTGCAGGACAGCCCTTACTGGACAGCCCAGGTGCAGGACAGCCCTTACTGGGGTCCCTGGCCACCCTCCTGAGGTCAACCCACCCACCCTGCACTCCGGGCCTCGAGGCCCAGCCCCCCCAGGCCTTTCTGAACCTGTGGGCATTCCTGGCTCCTCCCACTGACCTTGGCTGAGCAGCTGCAGGCTCCGCCCCTCCTCGCGCACCTGCAGGCGCAGCAGCTGCTGCAGCACCTCCTGCCGCTGCGCCTCCTGCGCCAGCCCCATCCGTTGCAGCTTCTCCGCGTTCAGCCGCAGCAGTGCCCGGCCTGGGAGGGAGGGGAGAGGGGTTGAGCCGAGGTTGCCATCCAAGGGGTTTCGAGAGCAAAGGCGGAGAGAGAGAAGGCAGAGAGAGGAAGAGATGGGTCGGGTGGGCAGAGACAGACATGCAGAGAGAGACTCAGAGAGACAGGGCAAGAGAGGGAGAGAGGCGGAGGGAGGGCAAGGAGGAATGGTGGCTGAGCAGAGCAAAGCCAGGCGACGACGGAAACAGAGACAAAGCCCCAGACGGGAGAGGCCGACTGGGGAGGAAGCAGAAGAGAGAGGGGAGGGGGAGAAGGCTCTCCGGGGAGCCCGCCCCCGCCACACCCCAGCCCCCCAGCCCCCACGGCACCGGTGATGGCGTGCTGGGAGAAGGCCTCCACGTAGACGAGGTAGTTGTGGGGACAGTGCTTCTTGAGCCACTTGCAGACATCCTGCTGACTCCACAGGACCACGGGCCTCGTCAGGCCACCCAGGGAGGGGCTTGTGTGGTACAGGCCATCGTGGTCAGAGTACAGCCGGCCCTGTGGGAAGAGGGGTGGCCGGTGGAGTGGGGTGGCAAGGAGGGCGGGGACTGAGGTGGGTGTAGTGTGTGGGTGGGTACCTGGGGGGCCTCGGTGCCGGGCTGCTGAAGGAGCTTGACCTGCCGGCTGCCAGCTGCCCTCTGGCTGCGGGAGTCGTGCCACGTGAGGCTGGTGCCCGGGGTCCGAGGCAGGGGGCAGGGGATGCTCTCGGCCGACACCGTGTGCTCCAGGAGGGTCCGGCAGAAGCTGAAGTGGGCAGTGGCTGCAAAGCAGGGGTGCCTGGTCACAGCGGTCAGGGGCAGGGGCTCCCTCCCTGTGATCCGGCTTCCTGCTCAGCCCATCTTTCCTCCACGGAAGAGGAGAGGCACGTTCCCAATTAGGGGTTCCCAAGCCTCCCCAAAGAGAAGGAAGTGTGCGCGAGCTGTCCTGAGAACTCCACCTTCAAGAAGCATAGTCTGTGCTCTGGGGAGCAGGATGGATTCTGTTTAATTAGAGAGAGACGTGGCCACCAGGGAGCCTCACACTCAGAACCAGGTGAGGCTCTCCTGGGACGGCCCTGGTCTTCTCCTTGGGCTGGCAGAGCCACATCAGACCAGGGCACACGCACGCACAGGGCTTGCCTGTGAGGAAACGCGGCCCCAGCGTCCTGGGAGACTCTGTGCTGTGGGGAGACCCCTGTGGCTGGGCTGCCTGCCCACGTGGTCGTCGAAGGCACCTGGTCCCTGCAGCCCCACCTGGCGTTCCTTGGAGGCTTGGCCTCTGTCCTGCTGTGCTCACTGGCTGTGACTTGTGAACGAGAAGGCTGAACTCTGGGCAAGCCCACAAGGTTCCTGCTGCCCCTTCCTGCAGGCCCCCTGGCCCAGGGCAGCTCCCGTGCATGGCAGCGTCAGCACAGCACACAGGCTGCACGCACGCGCTCGGGGACCCAGGCTGACTCCTTGTGCTTTCTCTCCCCACGCCGGCTTCGTTACGCTCATCACCTTTTAGTTTTACCATCATTTCTGTGCTGGTGGCTGACAGGAGTCAGGGGAGGGTAGACACCCGGACTGACCCCTCCCAAGGCCTTGCACAGGTCTTGGGACACAGGAGGTGCCCAGAAACATTGTGAATGACTGAATGGATGGATGAAGGCTCCGTGTGGTGTCCACAAGTCAACAGAGCCCTGGGGAGAGACAGGAAGCAGGGCCCAGCCTTGCCCCGTCTTACAGCATCCACGCCCTGACTCAGCAGGCAGGATCGGGTTCCCAGGCCGGGGTCCTTCCCCCACGCCCTCAGCAGGAGAATTAGTGACCCTCCTACCACAGACACAGCCCCTCACCCCCACTGAGGGCAGGGCTTGGTGATGTGCCCAGGAGGTTTCAGTAATGAGGGAAACCCACATCTTCCACCCCCTCCTCCCTCCCCATTCTTACAACTTTGGAATTGGATGGCAACTCTGAATTTGAGGTCTGGGGTCAGACAGAGGGCGTGGCCGAGGGTGGTTCTAGTACGGTGGGAGGAGACTCATTCTAAGCAGGCACGTTTCGGGGGAGGGACCCCGGGTCTCAGGGCTTCGCCTGGAGGGGCCTCCAGGCGGGAGAACCAGTCGGACGCCTCAGCCCGCGCCGCACCTGTCCTGGGCCAGCCGGGCCCCGCCCATTTCCTGCCCGCGCTGGGGGAGGGCTCTCCGTTCCTCTGTCGGTCCGTCCCTCCTTTCCAGCCCCAACGTCAGAATTCCAGGAGGAAATGGGGCGGGGACCCCCTCTGGGCCCCACTGCAGGGGCCGGGGAAGGTTTTACCCGCGCGAAGGAAAAGGTGACCGCGGGGTGGTGCTAGCCTGGGGACAGGAGCCTCGGCGGGTCACCTTCCCCAAACCAGGGCGCGCCGATCCCCAAGGCCTGACCGCCGCCCCCCACCCCCGCCCTCGCCCCAGCGCGGGATAAAGACACTGGGAACCCCGTTCGGCCGGGACGCGCCCCCTACTCCGAGCGCGGCTGCAGTTTGGACTTCGCTAGGACCCGGCCCTGTCCCTCCGGTCCTCGAGCCCCCAGACCGCGATAGCTCCGCGCCCGGGTCCAGCCCTGCTCACCGTCCACATCCCGGCGCTCCCCGAATCCGGCGCGCACAGCCCCGGCGCGGCCTCGCGGGGGGCTCGGCTTGGTCCTCAGCTCCGTGAACATGGGGCCCGCGGGTCCCCAGCCGGTGCACACGCCCCTCGCCGGGCGCAGGGCGGCCCGTGTGGCCGGCGGGGAACGCGCGCCGCTGCCCCGCCCCAGCCGGCCCCGCGCCCGAGCCGGTCCCCGCGCCCGGCGAGTCTGCGCGGCGAGGCACCTGCTGCCGATCCCTGAGAGCGGGGCGCGCTCCGGGAGCTCCGAGGGGTGTCGGCGGCGCGCGGATGTGCGAGCGCGGAGGGCGTCTGCCGGGGCAAGGGGCGGCTGTGCGCACCTGGGCATGGCGCCAAGGACGAGTGACTGTGCGGCCGCCCGGGGTCCAGGCGTCTGCAGGAGCATCTGAGGGTGCCTTAGCCCTCTCTGCGTATGGAGAGGAGGGGGTATCCTACCTGCTTCTGGGACCCTCTGCCCCATGGGGCCTAGGTCAAGGGCCAGACCCACCACTTCCCTCCATTCTCCTTTGTCAATTTACTTACTCATTCCTTTATTCATGCATTCTCCAGACCTCTCTGGAGGTTTCTCTCTCGAATGGGCACTTGCTTCCCCAGAGAAGCCAGTTTGACGCGCCCTTACCTCCCCCTCCCCACTCTGTGAACTTCAGGAGGACATCAGGGTCTCTCCCCTTCCCTCTGTAGCCCCAGAATCTGGCTCAGTGCCCAGGATGTGGCACCGAACAGGGGTAGGCTGGGGACAGGGAGGAGAGAGAAACCCCGAGGGGGCTGCAGCAGGCAGGGGGGGTGTACTTGCTTCAGGACCCCAGTGAGAAGTGTTAGGGTAGGCTGGGGACTGCCTGGTCCAGCAGAAGGCTAGACTTGTGACCAGCTTTTTGCCTGCTCTGCCAGGAGCCCAAGGGCTCTCCCCAGGTGTATGTGGGGACCAAAGAATGTCCCACCGCCACCTGAGCGAAGGTGCACATGGACACACAGTATCCAGATAACCGTCCCGCGTGTCCACCTAAAATACGAGCACGGGTGGTCGGACTTGCACCCGTGCGCACCAGCACACACGGAATTCACCCACATGCTGTGACCGCCCGTGCCCACATACTGACTTGTTCTGCTGCATTTATTTATTTTCGTCAGTTAGCTCTCTAGGGTCTGGGCTCTCACGGTCACCGGAATCACCGGAATGTTCAGGGTATGGTGGGGGTGTGGGCGGGGCCGGAACTGGGCCCAGGAATCTGAGCGCGGAGAGCTAGGGCAGCAGTCTGTACCGCCATCAGGGCACATACACCCCGCACAAGCCCTACACAGTCAGCTAGGTGTGCAGTCTGCTCAGGTGTGTTAGGCCCTGCCCCGGGGCCAAGGCGACTCTGAAGGGCAGGGTGGGAGGCTCAGGGAGGAAGGGGACCCATGGGTCCTGCTCGTACAGGCAGGTCTCAGAAATGCATCGAAAACACGCAGTAAGCAGGGCCGCCCCTGCTCAGTTTTGAGGTCCCCCAGGGCTAGTCCAGGAGCACATCGCCTGCCCGCCGCACCAGGAGCGGGCGCTACAGCACATGCGCTCGCCGCGTCTCTGTCCCCTTAGCCGCGGTCCAGAGCCGCCGGGAGCCGCCGGAAGTCGAGTTTCGGGAACTTCCGCCCAGGGAATGCGCGGTGGGCGGGGCTACGTGGGACCACGCGCTCTGCTTCCGGGGCGCGGGTGACGCGGGCAGTGGTCCTTCCTGTTACAGAGCCTCGGACGTGTGTGGTTTTTTCGCCTCCGGCCGCGGCCTCCATCCCTTCCCTTCTTGGCCGTCGCCGTCACCGGCGCCATGAACAAGAAGAAGAAGCCGTTCTTGGGCATGCCCGCCCCGCTCGGCTACGTGCCGGGGCTGGGCCGCGGGTGAGGCCTGGGGCCCGGGTCTGGGCGGCCGCCGACAGCGACGGGGAGGACGAGAACAGGGATGGCGCGGGATTGGCCTGATCTTGGTGGGAAGAACGGCGCTCTGGGTTAGAGCCGACCCGAGGGAGGCTGTCTGCCCCTAGGAGGCGGGACGCTTGGGTTTGAAGCGACGACTCTGAGCCCGGTTTCTGTCCCCGGGGTGGGTGGCAGCACCGTCTTGCGAGTCTGCCGTGGCGAGGACGCAAATCTCCGTCCCGTAGTCGGAGCTCTGTGGCTACCCTCCCCCCCCCCAGGCCGGGCAGACCGCCCCCCCCCCATTCTTGGCTTGAGCGTGACTGATTCTCTAACCACGATCCGGGCTGGAGTCCTCTGTGTGGCCTCTCACGGTGGTACCTCATTCTTCCTCTGAAGTGCTGGTGGTCACATTAATGCTTCTTCAGACTCTCTACTCCCCAGGAGTAGGGATGGCATCTGTGAGCCTTGTGACTGGGTCCCCCAGGTCAGATGACTACCATGTATTGTTGAGTACGTGAGCAGGCATCATCACCGTGTTTGTTATTCGTTTGATCAGGTTTCTCTTGTTGGGAGTATTACGTCCAGCGTTATCTGGGGCACACACAAGTCTAAGATCTTGACAGTGTCTTCAGAGGACCTGCAGTTTACTAGGGGAGATGAGATGTTTGCATAAATAAGTACATAAAGAGGAACAGATTTAGAATTCTGGGGTTCCAGCGATCCACGTCTGAGCCAAGTTCAGAAGGACGTAGGGGTGTACAGACGTGGCAGGGTTAGAGGAGAAACTGCTGCTTTGTGTGTTGGGCATTTGAGAAGGAAGATGAGGTGTGGAGGAAGAGGAAGGAACTGTGAGGAGTCTGTGTGGGTGGGACGTGCGGTGGGTGGCGTGGAGCTGCAGGGGCGGAGGGACCGGAGCCCCTGTAGGCACTGGAGAAGTAGACACCTCAGTACGCTGTGCTCAGAGCTGTGCTGAAGCAGAGGAAAGCTCCGCGCGGGGGTAGCTAACTTGGGTCCCAGCTGTGATGGGAGTCATGGTCTCGGAGGAGGGATTTTGGCGGTAGACCCCGTAGAATTTAGAGACAGATGGGAGGGAGAGGGAGGCAAAGCTGATGCCGTGGTACCTGGGACGGCACTGCCACCATCGGCTGAAACGACCCAGAGCAACTGTAGGGCAGGCACCGAAGGGGAACTCCGACTGGGCCACGTTGGGTTTGGGGGCCTGGTTGGATTCAGAGAGAGGGCTGCTTGGCAGATTGTTGGAAACAGGAGACTGTGACCTGGGAGCAGAGGGGTCTGGTGCCCGGGGGAACCTCCTTCAAGGAGAATGTGGGGTGGCAGAAGGTAGCCTCAGAACCTTCTCAGGTTTCTCTCTTGAAGAGGACAGCTGTGTGGAGTTCACTGCTTCTGGGCTCTTTGGGGGTTTCCCGGAGGAGTTAGAAAAAGAGGTGTCATTAGGTGACAGCTGCGGAGGGTCTTGGCACAGGAACAAGGCCACTCAAATAAATGGGCATCTTGGGGTCTCCTGCAGTGCCACTGGCTTCACCACCCGCTCGGACATCGGGCCTGCCCGGGATGCCAATGATCCCGTGGATGACCGCCATGCGCCCCCAGGCAAGAGGACTGTCGGGGACCAGATGAAGAAGAGCCAGGCTGCGGATGACGATGACGAGGACCTCAATGACACCAACTATGATGAGGTGACTTGTGAGGGGCTCCCCGGCCAGCGTCCACGTTCTTAACCCAGTGTGCTGTTGGCATCTGTGATGAGTGGCTTGGAGTGGTGGGTCCATTGCCTGTTCCAGCTAGTCAGGGGATCGGGGATAGCTCAAACAGAGTTTGAGAGGGGAGCAGGAAAAATATGAAGAAATGTGCCCTCTGTGGTCTCTTCAGAAGAGATGCACTTGCACACATTAGAACTGTTGCGTTCCTGCTGTGTCTTGGCTGGTCTTTAATGATGAAAATTTTAAGTGGAATTGGTAATATTTACCTTCTTTTGCTTTAGTGCTTGTTTTCTTAATGAATTCATGTTTGGTCTATTGAAGTCTTTTACAGATATGTTACAACAAGTGGCATTTTTCCTCAGAGAAAAGTTTTTTAAAAATTCAATTTCGAGTAATTTTAAAGTTACAGAGAACTTTCAAAAATAATATGGAGACTTCCTGCATACTCTTCACAAGTTTCTCCCCATCTCACATGACTCTAGTACTATTATTATTTTTTTATTTGTAAATTTTTAAAAACTTTCATTTTTTTTGGTCGCACCGCATGGCATGTGGGATCTTAGTTCCCTGACCAAGGATCGAACCAGTGCCCCCTGCAGTGGAAGCACGGAGTCTTAACCACTGGACCGTCAGGGAAGTCCCTATTTTTTAAATTTTTATTTATTTTATCTTTGTTTTTATTTTGAGGTATAGTTGATTTACAACGTTGTATTAATTTCTGCTGTACAGCAAAGTGACTCGGTTATGCAGATATATACATTCTTTTCCATTACGGTTTATCCCAGGATATTGAATTGGGTATTCTGTGCACCCTAGTACTGTTATTGAAACCAGGAAATTAACACTGACACAGCAATATTAACTAACCTGTAGATCTTACTTGAATTCCACTGGGTTTTCCACCTGTGTCCTACTTCTGGCCCAGGACCCTACGTTGCATTTAGTTGTGCCTCCTTAGTGTCCTCTGGTTGGTGTGGATACTCTCTCTTTCCTGCCCTTGACAATTTTGAAGAGTACTTATCAGCTATTTTGTTATCCTTCAATTTGGGTTCGATTGATTGAAAAAAATTGTTGAGCAAGCATTTTGCAGCTAGACGTGTTCTATTATTGATGTTTCTGTTGGTGGGGGTCGTATTGGAGAAAAGCTGACACTCTAAGTATGCTGTTTGGTTCTCAGTTTAACGGCTATGCTGGGAGCCTCTTCTCAAGTGGGCCCTACGAAAAAGATGACGAGGAAGCAGATGCTATCTATGCAGCCCTGGATAAAAGGATGGATGAAAGAAGGAAAGAGAGAAGGTGAGACAAATTGCCCGCTCTTCACGCTGTGTTTATCCAACTTAAAGAAAGCGTTTGTTTGTTCGTTTCTGGGCGGCACCGCGTGGCCTGCGGGATCTTAGTTCCCCGACCAGGGATCAAACCCGTGCCCCGTGCAGTGGAAGCGCAGAGTCTTAACTGCTGGACTGCCTGGGAAGTCCCAGAAAGTTTTGTTTCGATTTATTTCAGACTTGGAGAAAATTTGCAAGAATAGGAGATGTGTCTGCTCAGCTTTGAGGCTGCCTGGGGCTTGGTCTGTGGCAGCCACACTTGGAAAACCCTGGACTGTTGCACAGTAGCCTTGGGGGCTGGGGACTGGAGTGGAGAGCTTAGGAACTCCGTGTTTGACTTCCCAGAAATCGACAGAATTTGGGGGATTATTCTGCCTGTGCATCAGGGTTACCATCTTTGAAATGGGCGTGGTGATGTTGATGAGTGTATGTTAAGTAATTTGGAGGTTCACTGAAGATGGCAAATGACCATTGCAGTCCTCGTGGGCATGCGGCTGTGTCTTGAGAATCTTACTGCACAGGTCATTGTTGAGCTGGGCTGGTGGGGACGGACTCCAGTGAGCTGGAGGGTGCGAGGCCCAGGCAGACTGTGGGAGGGGCACCCTCTGTTCCTGGGGGTCCGTTGGGGGAAGACCACTCCCCCGCAGAGCCCTCCTGTTTTGCCTCTGGGGCTCTCAGGTGGGTGTGTTGGATTGAACTTGGCCCAGCACGTCTGTCCTTGATGTTACCTCATTGGCAACTTTCTGATTCCCTGTCATTTTCTGGGGAAGTATATGCAAAGTCAACATAGGATCCTGCAAACTATGATAAGTTTTATTGCTTCATAACATGTTTATATTTTTTACTACAAAAAGAATGCATTCTCACTCTAGAATATTAGGACAATAAGTTTAAGTGTAAGTAATGTTTATTCACAAGCCTGGAAGGTGACAGTTAACATTTTGGTTTACTTTTTTCTTTCTATTGCTCATTATACATACAGTTTTCTTTTCATAACTTGTAGAATTTTTAGTTTTCTCAAAATCATATTAGAAGAGTGAAGTACCGTTCTTCAGGGGAGTTTTTTAAAAGCATGTTATTTAATCAATGTGCATGAACTTATACGTATCGTAATTTGGTGGTTTTGCATATTAAAGAAGACTTGATTCCAATCTTCTGGAATTCATTCATTAAAAAAATCTGAGTGATGTGGATACATACAGAAAATTGTTGTATTAAGTGGTTTTAGGGAAGTGGTTGGCTTTTGAAAACTTTTCACAATACAAAAGAGCAGAAGGAACAGCGTAGCAGACAGGCGTGTGCCCCCACGTAGTCCGCACTATTCGGTTTGCACTTTCGCTTCTTCTGC